ATATTAAATAATATAATAAGAAAAATAAAAATATTATTTATTATCTTAAATATGTCAAATAAATTTTAATAAACATTTAAAATAAATATTATTATTATTTTTAAATAATATAAAAATATAAACATAATTCAAATAATAAAACTTATTTTATTATATATAACTAACAAAATATTTATAAATATTTATTAGAATAACATATTATAAATATTTATTTTAAAAATATAAATATATAAATATAATTTAAATAATAATATTTATTTTATTTTATAAAAATATAAAATAAATTTAAAAAAAAAAAAAAAAGCTAACTCAGAATTCGGTTCCCTTGAACCAAATTCTGGGTGGCCAAATTTCATCTACAGGGATTTGGTTCTATTTGGGTAATTAAATAGACCCTAGGTCTATTTAGGTTTTTTTATTTTATATAATTTTACAATAAAAATCTCCTATGAGAATATGCAGTGAAACAAAGTTTTGTCCCATCAGTTAAGGACAAATGTCTTTTTACTGTGCATCACTTTAATCTTTTTGTGTGGCAAAAAGATATCTCAAAACGGAACTACGAAAGTTGATCTATGAAAATAACAATGTCCATAAATAGTTAAAAGCTGTGAAAATTCTTGTGAAACTAGAGTTATATTGCACAAGGTTTATAAAAAAGAGGAGCTGTAAAGATGGAGGAAAGGGCCTTTTTCCTTCTTTTATGTGTTGGTACTTTAGAAATGGGATAACCTTCTCCAAAGAATAAGAAAAAAGAATGGAGGATCCCTTCTCAAAAAGACCTTTTTACAAGTGTGCTCCATAAATTTACAAATTTAGAACACGACATAGAGATGAAAATGGAACTTTATAATTTATGGACACTGCAAAGCATAAAGAAACATATTTAAGAGCTCTTTGGTACGCTTGAGACGGCTGTAAACTCATTTTTTTAAAAAAGCATCTATTACTCACTTAATTCACTTTTATAACATGAGTGTCTATCAACTTCTATTCATTTTTGTGTGCTTTGTAAGTTTACAAATCTATCTCTTGTAATATTTTTATTCCAAAAAATAAGTTTTATGTGAATTAAATGGATATTTTTAATTTAAAATAAAATTAGTATATATAATTTAAAATTTATTTTTATGCTTTATTAATTTGTCTTAATCTTTTAAATCTTTTCATTCTTTACTTTTTTATTAAGTGTTAAATTACAAGTTGTTTTACATTTGCTTTCACCAAAATTAAAAAATTATTTAACTTTATTTTTACTATTATTTGATATCGAGATAATTCTTTTAAATTCTTATAACAATAGTAGTTGAATTTTCTGAAAAGAAAAACAAGAAAAGGTACAATTTATTAAAAAATATATTTTAATAAAAAAATTCAAATAAATGTTATTTAAACTATAAATTTAAAATTGATTAAATTGTGATGCATTTTAATTTTTTTAGGAGAAAAAGTTATAAGATTTTTAAATAGATTAAATTAATAAAATTTAAATTATATTAATTTTGTCTTATTATTATTATGATTATTACTCTTATTCTTATTAGTATTATTTTTATTATTGCATGTCGTGTAAATTTATTCATTTACTGATCCTTATACACGCTTATTTTATTTTTAAATAAATATGTTCACTTTATAGATATATATTTTATGTTCAAAGGATTTAATTTATTTAAGGTTCTCATTAATTTTATTTTTAAATTATTTAAAGATAAGTTGTAACTGTTTGACAATCCTAAATTTATATATATATATATATTCATTAAAAAGAGTCAAATTAGTAAGATGACTTGTTAATTCTGTTTTTCAATTAATCAGGGATACCTCTTGATAACCCTACATTTAAGACGGATTCATCTTATTTTGTTTTGTCTTATTTTAATAAAATTAAAATCAACCGATTCGTATCTTTTACTCTTAAATTTTATAATTACGTTTTCCACCGCATTTTAAATACATTGGTACAAATTTTATTTTACATAAGCCAAAATTTGAATTTTTTTTAATCCATGTATTTATTTTATATTTGGTTCAATATCTTAAATTTGTAAATTTTTTTTTACACTGTCTTTTTGTTTTTTCATTACTTATACGTATTGAATGTTTTGCTTTGAATGTAAAACTTAATTTATTGTTATTCGTTGTAGTTTTATGTTATGATTTATTTTATTGGAATAAAATAATATGTTTAAATTATTATATTTCGTGCAATTAATTTTAAGGTATCTTAGGATGGGCACATTAAGTGTGTTATGGGTTCAATCTTCACATTTCCTTAAACAAAATAAAATTTCAAACTCGATTTTGGTTTTATAATTTTATTTTTCTTAAAAATTATTTTTTTTTGCCAAATTAAATAAAATTAACAGTAATTTTTGTTATGTTTAAATTTTAATTTTTAAAGTTACCGCTTATAGTAAGTGTAATTACGACAACTAAAATCAAATTTAGTCATATTTATCTGACCATATGATATTTTTAAAAGTACTTTCCTTGCAATGTATTGATAATTTTGTTTTCTGTTTATGATTTTTTTTTTTTTATGATTATAATGTGTTTTTGATTTTTTTTTATGATTAAAAATGTTTTCATTGAAGATTAGGATTCTATTTCAAAAGCTTGTGATCATCTTCATTGTATTTAGCGTATCTTTTGAAGACTTGATCAAAGAAATTTTGTTGTGTGAATTTTTATCATATTTTTTTAAATCTGGTATGTCATAGACTTACTTTAATTCTATATAAAAAAATATATAAGTTAGAGATGGATTAGTCATTTTTTAAAAAAGTAATTAATAACTATTTTACTAAATTTTTTTTATTAAAAGATACATGTTTTATTTAACATTTTTATTAAATTATTTTATTTAAAATTAATTCAAAATATATTAAATATAAAAAATGTAAAAAAATTATCAATTCTATCAAATTAAATTATTTCACTTTAAAAGTAAATTATATTAAATTAAGATGAAATAAAATTTAAATTTGTAAATTTTTTTGTTAAGTTTATAAATTGCTTATGTATATTTATAAATTTTGTAATATTAAGTATCTCTATACCTTTTCATAATGACAGTGTTGCATTTAAATTTTTGAACAATGGATGACTTAACAAATTTAATTAGCATTATTTTTTGTTATTAATTTTGTGTATCTAGTATTACTTTAAAAAATATTTATTGAACATATGATATTTCTAAAATAATTGTATAAAAATAAATAAATAAAGAATAATAATATAAGGATATTAAAATGTGAAAAAATTTATGGTTAATATTCAAATAATGTACTAATAAATTATTTGTAAAATTAAATAAATAAAAAATATTATTATAATTTAATAATTATCAATAATATAAATAAAAGTAAGATAAATATGTAACTTAATTTAATAATAAATTATAATATTTTATTTAATATTATTTGATAACAATAATTTATTCTAAATATTTAATATTATACAAATTTAATTATTTTTATTTATTTTTTAAGTAATTTTATTTATTTATAAATTTATAATAATAAATATTACAAAAAATAAATATTTTTAATAAATTATAATATTATTTAAAGTAGTTAGTTCATGATATAGTCCTAGCTCACTTAACCCTGTGAGCGTTTTTGGTTCTATTAACTTTTCATAGAGTAAACTTTTTCTCCTAACTCATGTAAAATTAATTACCCATTGCTCTACTCAACTTACACATTTGAATCTCAAGATTGAAAACCCATTTTTCTAATTATTTGTTAGTATCAAATCAATAACGAAAGGTTTCTAATTTCAGGTGCTGTGGATGACAAATAGACTTATATGTATTGATTTCAGCAAGATTCTTTGAGCAGTGTTTCTGTCCGCTTTTCTCTTAAAATAATCACTTTATTAATGATTAAATGAATCCGAGAAATAACTCCTCACACGAAAACTTATAGGTTTCTTTAAGATCAAAGAATTTCATCCAAACCCATGTACTATTCTATGAATATTAATAAATCTGATTATTAAAATTACTGAGGATATTTTTTTATAACTTGCAATCTATTTTTTAATACAACTTTTATTCTACTTTATAATATGTAAAAATAAAAATAAATGACTAATAATAGTAGTAGAAGTAAGATAGTTTAAAAAATAAAATTAAAAGTAACAATTAATTGTGGTGATTATAGTTATACTAATAACGCTCAAGGTAACAATTTATGGTAACGGTAGCAGTAGCGATGTTGGGAATGAAATGAATGCAAGTGGTGATAGAAGTAGATAGTTGCTATGACATAATATCTTGGATGGTCATGGAACTTAAATGAAATATTTTAAGTAAATAATTTATATTTTAAAAAATTATAATTTTATGAATTAAAATTTGTTGTTTGGAATATTTTATTTTAAAAATTTTAAAAAGTTTAGTGAAATTTTTAATATACTAAAATTAAAGAATTTTAAATACCTAAACAAAAGAGCGAGAATTTAGACTTGCTTTTTATTTATTTATTGTGTGTTTCTTTCATATTTTTATTTAGGTATGGTTAATTTAATAATTTAATTTTACATTTTTAATTATTTTGTTAAATATAATAATAATTTTTTTTTTAAATGCAAGTAATTTAATGACTTTATCTAAACAAGAATATTTGAAACAAAGGGAATTCAATGATTCTATCCCAGTAAAATACTTTAAAATAATAAAATTTAATTAATATAATTTAAATGGTTTAAAATTTAATTACCTCTTGTAAACAGAAACTTGAAATGTTAGGCGATGAACCTCATCACATCCCTGATGCGACCAGAATATCTTGGTCTCGTCAACCGCACAATATTTGGCTGTAATTGCCCAACAAATTGGTTGCAATTAGCTCGTATCAACTCAAAAGCGCAATAAGACTGCAATTAAAAGTTAAAACATGGATTTCTTGATATGTAACACAAGAATCACAGACGATGAACAACTGCATCAATACAAATTATTTTGTTCCACTTCAATTGCATAGGTAGCTGGTTATGCGGTAACATATCCATTGTGTTATGGAGGACTATGATAGTTTATCAGATCACAATATCATTTTGGGGAGGAAAGGAAAGTTCAGAATCGAAAATCTACTAAGTTATGATCTCGAATAGAGAAAAATCAAGCTTTTACAAATGCACAATGTAGAAGCAAAAGATCGAGTACTTAATGCACCTCGTTCCCTTTCGTGGGAACAAACTTTTCTGCCCTGGCACTGGACATCGTGATTTTTTATACATACATACAAGCAGAGTCATATTTTGGTAAAACTTCAACTACAACTAAAATTTTATTCTTCGCAATCAAAACCTCATTAAAATTGATCTCTTTTTCTTTCACAAATTTCATGATTAAACTCCAACCTGACCATCAAGGAAACAAAAAATATGTCCCCTAATAATCACTTCTCATTATCTCACGCCACGCTAACTTCATCTTTGACCGATTGAAAATTCTAATGAGGAGGAGTTGAGTCTAGAGTTTAGACTAACGTAACCTCTAGAAGATAGAATCCTTCCATTGCAGGAGAATGACCTTTTCATAGACACCGGGCTCATGTGTAAACATTCTTCAATTGAGGAACGACGCATACTTTTATACGTTTTTGAGTAGCAATCTCCATCTTGCTTTTGCTTCCAAAGATTAACCATGTGCAACTGTGTGTCACTGTCACCCAATACATGATCAACAACATGATTGCATTTGCTTTCAGATTCTGTAGAACAAGAATTTTCCTCCAATATAGAATCACTTGAGACAGACCCCTTCTCTATTTGATTCTCCGTTGAATCATTAACTCTCTCCTTATAATTTGATTCATCAATGAACTCAAGTCCTTCACTTGATTCCCCTGTACCTGTTCTGCTTTCCATGGCCACATTGATAACCATGTTGCTACTGAACTCACCATCATTAATCGAATTCTCCAAAAGGGTCTCATGATTTCTAGCGAAGTTTGCATTTTCTTGCTCCGTTGAAGCGAAATTCGACGTGGCTGAATCAGGAGCCACATTGCTAGAGACAATACCAGCACGGCAAAGCGGGCAATTGGTGTGTGATCTCAACCACGTGTCAATACAAGGGATGTGGAACGCATGGTTGCACTTTGGCAAAAGTCTTAAGGTCTCTTCTTCTTGAAACTCGTTCAAACACACCGAACACTCGGTTCCTTCAATCAACCCTTCATCTTTTTTATACTTGCAAACTGTAATCGAGTTTATGATTGATTGTTGCAGACCAACGGTGGTGATGAGCCACACGGGGTGATCAACTTGGTTCTCATTGAGAAATTCCTCAGTGTTGTCTGTTTGAGAAGGAACTGACCCATTGAATCTCCAGCCACACCAATCAGCATAACACTTCACTTTGATCACATAGAAAGCCACAACAAGAAAAATGACTGTGAATAGAGTAACAAGGATGATCAAGTAGGAGGATATGTGGTTAACTTGATTCGAGTGTTCTGAAATAGATGATGGTGGTGGTGGTGGAGAGAAGAAGTAATCTGGGTTAGAGTAGCAGTTGTAAGGACACGCTGGGTCACAAAAGCCATAACAATCTTGGGTTTGGTTTGTGGTTGTGTCTGAAGGAAAGAGTTTTCGGTGTTTAATCTCCATTGGAATGAGTGTTTTATGAAGAAACTTAGGGACACAAGTGGACAGAAAGAAAATGAAGAATGGGGTTGTTACTGAGAAGCGTGAGGTGGATTTTCTTTGGATTAAAAGAGAAGGAATGGTTTTCTTTTGTTTTGATGTCTCTTTCCAAGGTTTAGGAGATTCCTATGTGTTTGTTGTGTTTGGTGATCGATTGTAAGTTCGAAAGAACCTCTGTATCTCTCTACAGGTTTTTTGTTTGGTTGGTTTATTTAACAAGTAACTAATTAGAGTGGTTCAGACCTCACCTAAAGAAAATTTCAGGTAGTTCAGGTATCATCATTTGTCCCTGTCCAACTTGTTCCTAATCTTGCACTTTCGTCGAGTAAACTGGTGACAGAAAAGCCTTTGTTCATTTTCATGCAATACCTTTTGCAATTTCTTTGCTTCCCGTAACGAATAATGATTTCTTGATCTATTTTCCATCCAATCCAAATTGCGGTGTTCATGAGACTGATGGGATATGTTTTACTTTTGTCCCTGATTTAAAATTTTAATAAAGTTAATTATTTGTTTAAATCAAACTCAACTCGATAAAGGCTTGATAATATATAAAATAAAACTAGATAAACTCATTATATTAAGATTTTATACAATTAAATTACAGAATTAAACAATATAAAAATAAATATTTTATATATATATATATATATATATATATATATATATATATATTGCTTTCATTAATGAGTTTTACATTTTGTATTATTCTAATATCCATGTTTTCTTTTTCACAAGTATGGTACCATAAATAATATTGCTGGAAAACTCCTTGTATTTAGTATGATTTTAAATATTTATTGTAAAATCAACGTTCAATTGACAACTTATCCCTAATATTACTAAGACAGGGTAGTGATTTCCTTTCAAAATTATGTACCGAAAAATATTTTCAAAAATGTTATAATAAAAAGATTAATGGTAGTTCTTAGTGACTACCTCATTGATTTAGTATATTATAGAAGTAGAAAGGATCGCTATCAATCTTAGAATAATGTTAACTACGAAAAGCTTACACCAACTGCTGTGTGGCTTTATCTGAACTTAATAGGCTTTGCAATAATTAAATTAAAATGCTGTCACTTAAGTTTAAATAAAACCATCATTACATATTTTCAAAGTCAATTAAATAATTTATCACTGCTCCGAAAGTTATTGGTATAGGGTCCTTATCAGGATGACCATGTCCCATCTTAAAGTTTGGTGAATTCAGAAATCGTCTTCAATGCTACAATCAAATTCAACGAAACGATGCTGAGCGGCTTGAGATAGCGATCTGTCTTGATCTCTACACACCATACAACATTTTTTTCTTTCTTTCTTCTTCATATCTCAGCACCTTTTAATTTTGATTTTCTAAATGAAATTTAAAATTTATACAAAAGTTGCCTCATTTGAAGCTAATATCGAAACAAATAAAAATAACACAGAAATCCAAAGAGTTCTCCACAAAATTTTTAAAGGAAAAATTTTAAAAATAATTTGCTTAACTAGATCTAAGTTAGAAAGTCTAATTATACTAGACTCAGTTAGACTCAATGAGTTTTGATTCTCTAGGTACAATAAAAAAAATGACTATATAATTTAAAAAAAACTTTTTTGAGAAAATATAAAATTGAAAGGAATAATCTTATTGAAAGCTTATAAGAAAAAAATTAACATAAAACTTTTTTTAAATGTATATATTAAAATAAGACTAAATCATTTGAGGGCATTAAAATAATTTTATTTAGCTATTCTAAAAATATAGGAAGAAAAATTTAATTTTATAAATATATAATATGTAATGATAGAATATATAAAAAAATAAAAATGAAATAAATATGGATTTTAAAAATTATTTTAATTTTTAAAATAAAAAAATATTATTTCATATCAATAAAATGTACGATAATTCATATACATACTAGTATAACTAAATTGATATCTTACGATTTTATAACGTACAAATTATACAATAATTTATATATTTTTATTATAAATCATTGTATAAAATAAATTTAATTAATTAAAAATAAAATTTTAAAATAATTTATGGTTAAAATTATTATTTTTTAAATAAAAAATTATTTTAATAAATATTATTTTAATAACTTATTTTTTTAATATTAAAAAAACTTAAATCTTAAACAAATTATTTTTCCAAAAAAACAAAGAGCAAAGTGTGGATGAGACCAAAAATAGAAAGAAAAAAAAGTCTTAAGAGAGCAATTTCATAATCTGTCAACTCTTCTTTTTCTTTCCGATGCATTATAGAATGTAAGTAAAAGCCTCCAAAAAATTATCCTCAGCCAACCCTTCAAAGCCAATTTATCCATATTTTTTATTTTTAAATATTTTTTAAAATAAATTAGTAAATTTTTTTTTAAAATTTTTTTTGTCACGTTAGCCCTAATTTCACTAATAATATTTATTATAAGATATTTTATAATTTTTATAATTTTTTATTTGTATTTACTAAAGAAAGTTAGTGGAAACTATAAATAAAAACTAATAAGGGAGGAAATAACTTTTTAAAATTAAAATTTTGATCATAGGAATGAGTTTAAGAGATAAAATATATATTTTATAACATTTTTTCAAATATGTAAAGAGTAATTAATTTATATATCCGTTCCAATTTTCTCCGTGTATTTACCAAAACTTTTGTGTGTGAAAAAAAAAATTGGACCGGAAGGAAAGTCACCTATTGAATAAGCAGCCGAAATCTGTTTGTTTTTTTTCTTATTATGGAAGCCCAGCACTCTCAAATAGGGGCCATTTTCTGTTATTCCATGATCCAAACAAAATAAAAACATGATTTTGTTGTGTTAATTTTGGGCTCATAAACCAGATTTCTTGATCGAAAAACGTAAAATTACCTGTTATTTCAATCCCAGAATAAGAAAAAAAGGAGAGGTTCTTTTTTATGTCAGCTTCTCTCCTAATTAATTTTGTATATTGTTCTAGCATTGCTCAGTCAAACCCAAGCTAACATTTAGCCTAATTGCAATTGGGCCAAAAACTAATTGGTTCGTTTACCGCTCCTGCTGATAACTTTTAGGACTTAGATTAGTGAAAATGATAACTTTTAGTCTTCTCATAAATTTTTTCTTCTACTTAAAATTCTTAAAATATAATTTTCTACTAAAAATTTTACAAATTAAATTGATTAAACTGTTATCTATTCAAAATAATCAACCAAAATATCAATTATTACCTTAAAAAATCCTTAAAATTTTATCAATTATTCATTCATCTTTTTTTTTACTTTTTAAATCTTAAAACTTTTTCACTAATCTTACTTTTTTTAATTCCTTAAAATTTCAGATAGTCTAAACTAGAAGGACTAAAAGTACAATTAACATTTCAAAAATAAAGATAATTAGAATTTAATCAAGCTAAGCATAAAAACTTAGAGAGTGTGCAAATAATGAACAATGCCTTGTTGAAATAGTTAGACGTTAAGCCAGCAGGTTACGAAAGAGTTTGAATTTTTTTTATCCAATTCACATATTTTGTAGAATTATTTAAGTTCAATCATTAAGCCCAGCCCATTTTGAAAACTCAAATGATTTTGTTACCATTATAACATATAAGTTACTAATAACTAACAGAAGAAAGGTGAATTCAGGATTTTTGTTAAAATATTTAACAGACAGTTAATCAATATATAAACAATTAATTAAAGGGTAATTTATAATTAAGAAAATCTTTTATGTGTGCTAAATGACACATAAAAAAATAATAAATAATCTATTTTTGTATTAAAAACATAATTTAATTTTACTAGTTTAAATTTATTGCTTCTCAATAAAAAATATCACAATTTTTTATAATATGTTCTTAAATACACATTAAAAAAATCATATAACTAAAGTTATAACATTTCATAATCAATCTTAATACACGATGCAGTGATTACTTTACTAGAAATTCGTATAAATTTCATTTATTTAAACTCATTTATATACAATTATCTACTTAATAATGACCTTCAAATCAAACGATTGAATTGATTAAGTAATACAAGTGTTCAATGTAATCTTATTCTATCCGTATATTTATTTATACTTTTTGTGTACACACTTGTTAACTTAATAGATGTTCAAACACGACATCAGCAAACGATGACGATTAAGAATGAAGATATGGAATATTGACTAAGTACAACTTCGATTATATGTCCACTTTACACAGAATTATAAGGTTTTAATTAGAACTTTAAAGCATCCATGACAAACATATTATGACTTTGAGATAAGGAAAAAAGAAAAAAGAAAACACTGTTGGAAGGATGGGTTTCCATTTTAACGCATAACGGTATTTCGGTAATTTAGACTCGGTTCTACTCGATGTGGGAATATCTGAGGAAGAAAATTAAATAACAAATTCAAACTCATACCATATATATATATATATATAATGCCTCAGCATTCTCATTAATTAGGAAATTGTTCTGATAGTTGAGAATATTAGATTGGCGCATTGATGATGGCAAATACAACCTTTACTCAAAAGTTTACTTGCTTAACCGTAGGGACATTCTGTAGATGTCAAGCTTCAAAGGTTGATCATCCTATTCATCGCCTTCGATTCAACTCCAAAATCAAACATAATGGCTTCTCTGTTCTAGAACAGAACCTTGCCTTGAGATTTCAAAATGACCCCACAAGAAAAACGTACGTAATTAAAATCCTAGTTTTGTAGCAAATGCTTGTGCTTCTGTTGGATTATTTTCTTTAAGAGCTACTTATATATATATATATATATATATATATATATATATATATATACCCTTCATGCAGCAGGAACATGGCTGTTCATGCCAGCACAACACCAGGAGCCCCATTTCCTGTTGATCCTTCCCCTGGTCATTGGTAATTACTTATTCCTCACCAATTTCTGATATGTGATATTATTGGATTTTGAAATTTTTCCCACTTCTAGTTTAATGTGAATTTGCAATTGATGAAGAGTTTGAAAAGGAGATATTCTCTCTGGCAGGAAAGTTTGGATCCTGGGAACAATATTCACAATACTCGTATCCTTTACGAGGGGCAAATGGGGTCCTTTGCTACTACTGAAAGGTGGAGAATAATGCATGTTATTGTTTATTTGTGTTAACAGACTTGGTAGAATACCAACTCTCAAAAACTAGCTTATGAGAAAAACATTACTTTATAAGGAATGGAATATCTTAGTCATGTTCTTAACTAATTATGTACAGGTCGATCCAAATCCTACAAGCTTAAAGACTTATAGAAGTACAATATTTTTATGCCTAGTTCTTTTTCTTTGAACCATTTTTCCTAAGCATTAAGTCATCCTGATATCATATTAGAAAAATTTAATTGATTCTTTATAACTAGTTTTGAAAGAAAAATTGCCTATATATAACTAAAACAATGTCAAAGCCATATTCTCAACCAATATAAAATATTTTAATGGTACTCTAAGGATACATTTGGAATAAGCTTTTTCGCTTGTTTGTAAAGAGAAAGTTGAAACAACAATAGAAGAAGCAGATCGAATAATGGACATTGTAGAAGAAGTGGCTGAGGGGGTGGAGAAGGTGACAGAAGAGGTTGTTAAGCATCTTCCCGAGGGAAAACTTCGTGATACAGCTGAATTTGTTGAAGAAGTAGCTAAAGATATAGACAAGCATGCCCAAAATGCAGAAGATGCATTAGAAAAGGTTTTCATCTCTATTTCTATTAGACCATCATTAATGATAATTTTTCACTGGTTTTTCATCTCAATTTGTTAAAAAGTATGATCCAATTGTTCTGATAATTTCTTATTTTAAGAACATCACTTATTTTAAAAAAGTGGGTCTTAATTCTTTATCAAACGTGGATTGTCCCATTTTACAGGGTAAGGATTGGGATACCGTTTGGCAGTTAAATGAATTCTTAAATAGGGACAAATATTTAATATGTTAAAAATATAAAATATATTATTAATTTTCCTTTTAATTAATTTGAATAATTAAAAAAAATAAAATTTAATAAAAATTGTAAAATTTATGACAAGTATTTTTAAAGAGAGCATAAACGAACATTCTAAATTATTATCTAAACTTTATCAAAAAATAAAAATAAAAATGATCTGAACCATAACTTACGTACGGGACATGAAAAAGGAAATTGAAGAAAACAAATGCATTGATATTTCGTCTCAATTAGCTGCAAATTGTGGCGAAATAGTTAGGTCTAAGGGGAATTATCTGATATGTTTCTCACGCAACCGCGTGTTTACAGTTTCTATTCTATGGTTTGAGTCAGCCTTATAATTAATCACAATGTTACAATTTAGCTATTAATTTTGAAGAACTCTCCTTAATTGCTATGTATATATTTAGTCTTTAATATGTGGAATTAATCTTCAATATGGAAGTTGCCTCAGTCAATTTTCGAACGAGGTGCCTTGCATGTTCAGATTTCCTTCCTTCGAGCCAATAATAATATTAACTTGCTATAGATACTTTCTTTCAGAATCAGTTTAAATTTTCTTTTTGAAGGCAAATTGCAAATATTTATTCTTTGATACTCGTGATTTGGTCACAGATTTGAGTAAGTCATGATGACTAATTTGGGTTAACTTGCAGATTGAGAACATGGAAAAGGAGTTTGAGTCCTTCGTTGAATCAACCACTCATCAGAAAAATACTATCATGCCCAATACAGATGCAAAAGATCAGAAGTAGAGAAAAACACGATTCCAGAGCAATGTGACATTCATATATCAGAAAAATCAACGCGACATTTTCAATATCCATTATACATAATATTCTGATTTTTTTTTCATATCTCTTTTAATTTCTTACCTTCATACTACGTACATATATTTTTAAAAAAATATTTTTTACCATTTTCTTTCCATTTCTCTTTTAACTCATTTCAGATCGCATTGAAGCTTATCAGTCATCCATAGAAAATAAATATAGAATACGACAAAAGCAAGGTGTAATTGCAGAAAATAAAATAGAACAAAGTATAATCACATAATATAAATTTTATTTGGATGAGATAATTACTAAATTTGATTGCGTTCATATTAGGATTTAGAACATTAATATTTTTTAATATTCATTAATCGTATGTCGCTGGAAGACATTCCTTTGCCAGTTGATTTATCCCACAGTACACATGCAACCGTATGCACATATATATCAGAAACATTTTTCCACTAGAACTTCCCTCGATAGGAAATACTGTAACTGATCATATACTTTCAAAGAACGTATGGAGTCAAATGGATTACCCTCTTAAGAAAGCTACTAATAATTATCTAATATCCATCCCACACAATTATCTTATATAAATTGTCAAATTATCGATTAAACCCAATTGAAAATACAAATTATATATACCAATCGATTGAAGGCAAAATTAAAAAATTTCAACATTTCCCTTCTAGAACAATATTAATTGGGTTGTATTTGATTATGTAATTTATTTTAAAAGTACTATTTTTTGGGCACTATATATGTGTCTGAATAGAAACTTTTCCATACAACTAATAACAAAATCATTACTTAGCTATAAGTGAAGATAAACTGTGAATTTAGTTTATTCATTAACGCGTAACTAATGACCTCATTAGCATAATCTCAGCACAAGTTTGCAATTATAAGTACACATCATGGCATTGTTGATCCTTTTTTTGTGCTAATGTGTATGTATTCTATATTTGTCTTTGTGCACAACCAATCTTTCCAAAACAATAACAAATAAGTTTGCACGAAACATCATTTCCCAAATAAAACTAAACATTTTAAAACAAACACCAAAAATTGCGTATGGCATCAATAATAAAAATTGCGTTTTATTTAACTATAGTTTAATTAGTCACTATAAAATTCTTATGTGATTAAAAATGATCTTCATTCTTTATATATATTTTTTCTCATAAACGGGGCTTAAAGCCCAAACAAAACCCAAAGACTAAGTAACTTCTCTAGAGTACCAAGTACCTAGAGAATCCATAGTAACTAAAGGAAGTAAATCTAAAGTGATTGACTCTAAAATATAAAGAGGAGTTTCTTCTTCAGCCCCCAGTTTTAACAAGCCAATCAACACAATGGTTAGCCTCTCTTAAGACATGGTTAAACCTAATAAAATGAATACATTTGATCAAATTCCTAATCTCACTAATAATATAAAACAAAGGGTGAGTACAACTGAAAAATTTAACAAGCAAAGAAATAGCTTCAAGAGAATCACATTTAATCCAAATCAGCTGAATATTATGTTGTACAACAAGCTTGAGCTCCCAGAAAACTCCCAGAGCTCGGCAGAAAGGGGAGGGAGAGCAAGGATCGAGTGCCTTATAGAAACCAGCTAAGAACCTGCCCTTGGTGTCCCGAATGAGGCCTCTACAACCAGCAAAACCAGAAAAGTGAGATGTAGCTCCATCCACATTGAGTTTTAGATGGGATTGTAGAGGGGGCTGCCATTTTATTTGGGATTGGGAATCCATCATCCCATAGACTTGCTGAAACTTGCCACAAAATAGGAAAAAAATCAAATTCATATAAAATTTCATGCAACAAAGTTTAACATTAATGTGCAGATTTTGAAACAGAGAAAGGTTCTTGTTTCTCCATAACTTCCACATCACTATTCGAAATAAAACATTCCAATGAGGATACCTCTAAAAATTCTAAGAATCCATATTATAATCTAGCCAACTCTGCAACCCTTTACTAAAAAAATGAACCCAGTAATCAAGTAAAACAAGAGAGCTCCAAATCCTTTGGGCAAACCAGCAATCCCTAAAGATATGAATGACAGATTCAACATCCTCCCTACATCTAAAGCAATCAGGAGAAGTAGTCATCCCTCTATTACACCTCTCAACATTAGTTAACAACCTACCATGAGCAACCTTCCATAGAAAAATAGAAATTTTGGGAGAACCTTCCCATTTCCAAATCTTCTTAAAAACATGATTGGTAATTTCCCCACTATCATCTGTGTCTGCAATCAAATTATAGGCTAACTTGATGGAGAAAATGCCATTATTAGAGACCTTCCAGTAGAAAAGGTTCTGTTCCTTAGACCCTATACTAGGGGAAATTTAGGAGATGAGAGCACAAATATTTGCAGGTAGCAAAGACGTAATTTTGGACCAGTTCCAACTATCCTGAGAAAAAAAGAAAGCAGCAGGCGCATTCTGCAGAGAATCAAGAATAGGTTGAATAGTATAAGAGGAAAGATTATGGTGACCCTGCACCCAACTATCCTCCCAGAGCCTGATAGTTTGACCATCTCCTAAGATCCAACCTAAACCATTATAGAAAGAGGTCCAAACAGACACCAACCCCTTCCACACATGGGATTAATTTTGGCTAGATTTAGAGCAAAAAGGCCTGCCAATGGCAAAGCTATATTTCCTACTTAGCACCCCCACAGCTCATGAGGAGAGGTGAAAAGTCTCCACCAAAGCTTCATGAAGAAAGCTTGATTAACCAGACAAATGTTCCTAAAACCTAGGCCCCCCTTATCCTTAGGTTGACAAATTTTTTACCAGCTAATTAAATGACATTTCCTAGTGTCTAAAGACTCTCATATAAATCTCTTACAAATAGAATCAATCTCTTTGCAGACAGCTTTAGGTAGGATTATGGATTGCATGAAATAAATAGGTATACTTCTAATACAAGATTGGGATAACAGGATCCTTCCAGCTATAGATAAAGATTTCAATTTCCATAAAGAAAGTTTTTTCCTCACCTTATCCACTATAAAAGAGAAGTTCTACCTAGAAGGACTAGTGTGGCTAATAGGCACTCCCAAATAATTACCAAAATGATGGACCTGACTGAAACCTAAACAAGAGCAAATATCTTGAACTTGAGCAGGATCACAGTTTTTAGAGAAGAAAATAGAGGATTTCTCTTAGTTAGCTATTAAACCAGAAGCTGCAGAAAATGTATTAAGAACATTTCTAATCACTTTAGCATTGGCCCTATCAGCTTTAGCCACTAAAGTTATATCATCAACAAAAAAATAGGTGAGAGATTCTGGGACCTTGATTGCTAAAAGGGAATGGGGTCCAATTGCTAGCAGTAACACAATCATGGATTAAATGCCCTAAACTCTAGGCAAAGAACAAAAATATAGGGAGATATAGGATCTCTCTGTCTAATTCCTCTAGAAGGTTTAAATTTCTCAGATGTACAATTATTCTAATTAATTGACATGGATGTAGAGGAGATGCATTGATATATAAGCTCAAATAAATCATAATTAAAGTTAATTTTTTGAATAGTATCTTTTATGAAATTCCACCTAAGCTTATCATAAGCCTTTTCTATATTCAACTTGACAATTATGTACCCATTCCTATTGTTCAGTCTATTGAAAGAGTGAACGATTTCTTGGAGAATTAATATATTATCAGTCCCTTGCCTGCCTTTTATAAAACTAGTTTGATTTGGGGAGATTAGAAAAGGCATAGTTGCACTCATTCTCTTAGCTATTAGCTTAGTTAAAATTTTGTAGCTAGTATTACATAAAGAAATTAGTCTAAAATTACTTACATATTTAGGATTCTCTTTCTTAGGAATAAGGGTAATGGAAGTGTCATTTACATCAGCAATGTTTGAGGGATTTTTGAAGATATCAAAAATAAACCTAAAAATAAAAGGGCATAAAAAATCCCACTGATTTTTTAAAAACAAAGCATGAATGCCATTAGGGCCTGGAGCCTTAAAATTCTCTATATTAAATAAGGCAATTTTAACTTCTGTACAGGAAATGCCAGAGTTTAAAATAGCTAACTCATTATTCCCAAGATTGGGAAAAGTGGAGGTAGTGAGAAGAGGAGAGCCCATAGGCTCATCATCATGATAAGGGTTTGAAAGTAATGAACAACCAGAGATTTAAGCTTACTCGGCTCATATACCTAGTTGTTCCTATCATTCCTAAGAGTCTCAATCAAGTTCTTTTGTCTATGGATTAAAACAGATTTATAAAAAAAAATTAGTATTCCTATCCCCTAATTTGAGCCAATTAGATTTATATTGGTGAAACCAATAATAGGTTTCTTCATGATTAAGAATATCCTGGTATTCCTTCCACAGAGAATTCATAAGACTTATAAGAAAAGGGTTATTATTGCCAGCTAATTTAATAGAAATGCCCCTTAATCTATTTAATATTCTTCTCTTCCTATTAAAAATATTACCAAATACATTCCTATTCTAGTCAGAAATGTTAGTTTGGAAAAAGGCTATATTCTCAATCCAGGTTCTAGATGCAATCCAATAATTCTTTACTTGATTTGGAAAATCACTATAAGTAAGCCAAGGGGCAAGAAATTTAAAAGTTCTATTATGATGGACAGGTCTAGTCCCATCTCTAATTCTCAGCCATAGCCCATGATGATCAGATTTGAGTAGGGGAAGGTGAATAAGAGAACTATTTTAGAACATCATCCTTTAGGAGTCACTGACCACAGTTCTATCAATTCTTTCTTTCATTTGACCTTTGTGCCAAGTAAAAAGGTCTCCTTTGAAACCCAAATCCTGAAGGCCACAATTATCAAGACAGTTAGCAAACTGTTAAATAAGTTTTATGTTGGCTGGTCTCCCTCCAAAATTTTCATTTTCATAAAGTATTGAATTAAAGTTCCCAGCTACACACCAAGGTTTATTAATATTTATACGAAATTTAGACAAGAGACCCCAACAATTAGCTCTTAGCCCCTCTTGGGGGCTAGCATATAGAGCAGAAAATATCCAATCCCAATTACCTATACAAATATTCAAATGGATCATGTACTTATTAGATCCTAATAAACTAACTTTTATTTTATTAGTATTTTAGCAACACCATATAGCCCTAGAGAACCCACTAGCATCAATTCTAACTCTCCCGTCTAGATTAATCTTTTTAATAATCCTATCAGCCTTAATAGAACTAATTCTTGGTTTAAATATAGCAATAAAATCAAGATTATGAATCTTAATAAGATCATTTATCATACTGTGAAAAGTCTTACTTCTAGCCCCTACAATTTCAAAACAAACAATTCATATTATTAGAGCTTATTAACAGTTGCATCTTCAAGATGTTGTCCTATACTTATATCATCATTAGATACAACAACAGTATCAGTACCCATTTGGTTGGCATTTTTAGGGTTTTCAAGTTCCATTAAAGTCAGACTATCAGGAGGTTTATCAGTAAGATTGTGATCTAAGAGACCTTGAGATCTCCCTAAAAGCCCAAAATTAAGACCTACTAAATCCTGGATAGAATGGCCAAGATTAGGGTCATTATGGATTCTGTTATGAAAATACTTCATTAGCAACATAATGTTTTGCATTTCATGATTATTAACACTTTTACGATTCATTATATTAGAATTTGGAACCACTACATTCTCTTGAGAAAGATCATCTTTCTCGTTACCCCCTTTACCAAGATTAGGTACAAAGCGAGCTTTGAGAGGTTTTTTCACAGAGTCACTCACCTTGGATCCATTAGACATTTTAAAGCTTAGCCTATGAGTACTAGAATTCTTATGGTGAACAACATTCTTATACAGAGGCTCAATTTTCCTAGGAATGGCAGATTCTAAGTTCTCAATTTCTTTTTTCTTAGCTTGGTTCATGGAGGACCCAACATTAGGAAAGGAACTTAATTTCTTCCTAAAAGGTTTCTTTGCAAGCATCCAAGGACCAAATTGTTCCTTTTCTTTATTAGTTATGTCATCATTCTTAGGCATTACCAAATCATTACTAGTTCTAGGACTATTACCTGTATGTCTATCATTTTCCCCTATAACAATAATTTTGTTTCCTTCTACCTCTAAATTAGTCTCAGTATTCTTGAAATTATCACTACATTGCTCTTGTCCATGCCCGTACTTACCACAATTAAAACAAATGAGATGCAACCCTTCATACTCGACTTTAAATTCTTGTCCTAAAACTTTAAAGGCCGGGATCAGTTTCTTTTTTAAATCAATTTCTATACAGTTTCTAGCAAATTTACCCCTAGCTACTAAGGAGGTGTGAGGATTAATCTTCAGCATTAACCCAAGACAGTTCCCCACTTGCCATAAAAATTTGTTATTGTAAAGTTCAAGGGGGAGGTTAGGAATCCTAACCCAAACTGCTATCTTCCTAAGGTTATAGTCTTGAAGTTTAAAGAGCGGTCTCCACCTCTGTACTAGCAAATAATGGTCTAAAATTAACTAGGGCCCTTCAAAAAGGGCATACTTATAATCCTCCATATTTTCAAACTTAATGAGGAAAAAATCACTATTCAGATCAAGAATTTTTAGGGACCCATGCTTACCCCAAATATTATTTAGTTCCTAGTTTAAAAAACTGAAGCTAATTGATCTTCCTAGCATTTCACTATAAGTGTAAATTTTCAAGGAGCACACCATTCCTCGTAATCCTCCAAGAGGATCTTTAGGTCAAGACACAAATTTTGCATTTTATCATTACTTTCAGTATCATCCGCAACCTCAAAAACAATATTCAAATCATCCAATATAGTTTTAATAATTTCTTCATCATTTAAAATCATATTTACCTCATTTGATTCTAAAACCTTATCTTTATAGGATGAAAGCTTAGGAACATAGGGTACAAAAAGCACCTGATAAGTTGTAGCATCAACAGATCTTGATTCTTCTTGCATTCTTAAGACCGACATCTCCTTTTGTCCCCCTTCATTTGTCTTGATCTTCTTGGTACTCCGATCCATGAGATCCATCTCCTCTGTGGACTGCTTCTCAGCCTCATGCTTCTCCATAATCTCCGATCTCTCGAGATCACGGGTAAGGGACCTTGCTCCCTTTCGCGAAATGATGTTGTTCTTCAGTACTTCAAAAAGCTCTCGCGACCACCGTCAAATTGCTAGGGCGAGAATCCTGGAAACGCCTCCAAAGCCTTCTTTTCTTGAAATGAAAAGTTAGGATCTTGGAGCTTTTCACGAAGAAACCCTTCATTCTTTATATTTTTATTCAATTATAGTTTAATTATATTAATTAATGATATATCATAATTAAAAAATATTCAAAACTAATTGGCATTGCAAAGGGCTTAACTGGTAGTAATTTATAACTTCTCTATTCTTAAAGTTTTAATTTGATTCCTAAAAGATTTGAAAATGGTCATATTAGTTTTTAAAAGATGAAAAATACTATAATTTTTTCAAAAATAAAAATATCGATTAATTTAATAATTTTAAGAACTAAATTGACGTAAATAAATAAAACTGAGACTTTTCATTAGAATAAATTGATAATTTTTCATCTTTTACATATTATAACGTGATCAACTTTTAAATCTTTAAGCGGAAATCAATATAAAAGTCATACTACTATTCTGATTTACGCTGTCTATGTCCACTTTTCCACCTTCCTATATATATCTTATTCAATACTATCATATTAAACTCAGCATCCTCATAGATGTTCTGATCGTTACGAATATTGAATTCATTCATTCACGTATCGATGGCAAACACAATCTGTACTCAAAAGTCTACTTGCTTAGCCATAGAGACATTATGCCAAACTTCAAAGGTCGATCACTTTATTCATCATCATAGATTCAACTTCAAAATCAAATATAATCGCTTCTCTGTTCCAGAGCAGAACCTAGACTCAAGGTTCCATAAAAATGCCACAAGAAAGATGTACGTATAATCTTGTACTAGTTTTATTGTAAATACTACTTCAAGTTTGTGTTCTTGGAAAGCTCATGTCTGAATTCATTAGAATGCATTCAGGAACATCGCGGTCCACGCCAGCGTACCACCAGGAGACCCACTTCCTGTTGATCCTGCTTCTCCTGGTCATTGGTATTTCATTTAAGATTATGTAATTTTGGTATTGTTATTTAATTGAAATTGATGTTTCAATTCCACGATTAAAGTAAATCTTTAATATTTAGTTAGAAATAGTAAAAATTTTAATTTTAATTAAGAAATGGCTTTAAATAAAACTTAATATATGTATCTAAGTTTTGTTCCATAAGATATCAACTTTTGTTACCCACTTCTCACCTCCCAAGTTTAATCTGAATTTGCAATTGACGAAGAGTTTATAAAAGACATTCTCTCTAGCAGGAAAGTGTGGATTATTGGCACGATAATCACGATACTTATGTCCTTTACGAGGGGCAAATGGGGTCCTTTGCTACAACTGAAAGGTAATGATATAAAGAGAAGTCATGTTAATTGTATTAGTTAGACCCAAAATTTGCATTAATGTGTGATGAGTTTCTTTTTGCTCATTTTATGCAGAGAAAATTCAAACAACAATAGACGAAGCAGAACAGGTAGCAGACATTGTAGAAGAAGTGGCTGAGGAGGTGGAGAAGGTTGCAGAAGGGGTTGTCAAGCATCTTCCCGAAGGAAAACTTCATGATGCTGTTGAATCAGTTGAAAAAGTGGCTGAAGATATAGACAAGCATGCCCAAAATGCAGAAGATGTGTTAGAAAAGGTTTTAATCAATATCCGAATAACAGCTCCCTCGTCCTTTTTTTTTTTTTTTGGGCAATCATATTATTATATATACCTAATGTCTTTTTTTATATATATTTTCTTACCTAAAACATTCAAAGCATTATAATCAAACAATTGCAGACGCATCAACCCTGTGGGCTCTTATTTAATTTACACAAAACATGTGAGTATAATTAATTAATAGCTCTTGTTAGCAACTTTGAACGACGGCTTAGATGTTGAAAGTTTCAAACTATACTATTGGCTTATGAGTACCTAAAAGTGCCAGAAATGCTTGTATTGGACAGGAAAATGAAAAAGAAAAGCAGAAAAAAATGCATTAGCTATTTCTTCTCAGTCGGCTTTGAAATGTCAAATTATATTGTTGGTTTAGATAGGATTGATGGATTATTTGATAGGTTTCTGTTCTACATATATATTATTCGAAATTTTGAATTGGTGTTGGTTTCAATATTAAAACTTTATTATACGTTAATATTGAAGATTTTTCTTTTCTACCAGAAGATAAAACATTAGACCATAATTAATGTGCCAAAATTAGAAACCACGGGTGTAATAACGTTTTAGTTTAACACGCAAGATGTCGTAAACTCATTTTTCAATGAGGATGCCTTGTTCAGGTTTCCTTCTTCAAGCCAATGAATTTATCTCAGCAGTTGAATTTATCTTTTGAAGAGCTATTATTATCCCTTATTAAATGTTGCGGAGATTTGGTCCAGGATTTGAATAAGGTATATGATGATGGACTAGGTAAATTTTACTATTACTTATTATCATTTGTTGAAATGAAATAACCTTTTGAAGGCTAATTTAGAATTTAGACAGTAAATATTGTGGAATTTTGCTTCATGATCACTTGGATCCGAGATAATAAATTTGGATAAAATTTCAGGTAGAAAATGTGGAAAAGGAAGTGGAGTCCTTCATTGAATCAACCGCTCGTAGAGAAAAAAATACTGCCTTTACTACAGATTCAAAAGATCAAAAGTAGAGGAATCATGTGGTTGCATATCAACATAACATTTCGACATGTAATTAGTAATTACTCTTATATGGTAATCAAAGTAATTACTCTTATATGACAAATTTGAGGGTTCTCTTTGTATATTCCCTTTCTCTTATAATGAATGGTGTGTATTTTTTTTTATATTATATCATGGATTTTTTATTTTTATTTTCTATTTATCCTCCTCAGTTGACCTTCTAGCTATATACAGAGAAAACTATTCTCCTCTATTGGTTATTTAAATGAAAAATATTTATATTAATCAATAATAAATAATCCTTGTCTCAAATTTCTTATAATATTATTATAAAAACATTTAATAATATTGTCCTTGATAACACAATTCTTATCGCAATCTTTTAAAGTGAATTAGAAAAATAGAAACTAAAAATTTATCTTCTGTTAGCAATAACATGTTTGTTGGGTTTAAAATTCAACAAGTAAAAATCAAAACCACCGAAAATTTTAATATATTTCATAAATTTATAAAACAATAGTACCGTATATATAGAAACGAAGTTATTCGGTATGAAATAGGTTTATATGACATAATATTAGACTATGATTATCTAACAAATGTGATAAGTATATTGTTAATTTCTTATAAATTTAAATAATTGTAATATTAATTTTTACTCACAATTTGTGGTGGTCGTTGATTTAAGAGAAATTTATATATAACGAGATTTGAACACAAAAATTTATATTAAATAAATTTAATATACATATAAATATAAAGTATTGACAATGAAAAAAAATTACCTAGTTAAAATATAGTTGCTATAATAAATATGAATATTCAAAAAATAACTTTCTTATGAGAAGACCAATACATTTAAAAAACTTTGACTTTGTTAATAGCCAATTAAACACTCAAACAACAATAAAATTTGTTAGAGTTTCTCTCTAATACAATCTTCTTACAACTAGGGCTGTAAATAAGGCAGACCAGGTTAGGTTTTACTTTAAAGAAGCCTGACCTGTAACATAATTATTAGGCCTAAACTTAACCTGTTACCTATTAAAGGATTTTCAGCCTGACCTAGCCTATTTAGGTGGTCTGATATGAAATCTGTTAACAAAGTCTGCTACAAAAAAAATCTTAATATTTATGCAAATATAAATATTTTATTATCAAATTAGTTTACATATTTTTCTACTTTTCATTTGTGTTATTGATAATTATTAAATAATTGTAATAATTTTATAAATGATTTTTAAAATATTATTTGAGCACAAATTATAAATGTTTCATATTAAATAAGTTATTATTTTTATTTTTCTTGATTTATTTTTAAAAATTATTAAAGTATTAAAGATTTTAATTTTTTTTAGGATCATATTTTGTTTGTTTAAAGACATCTTATATTTAATAAATAAAGTCATAGTAAACACATAAAATTAATCATAAAAAATAACATTCACACAATTTATTGAATATGCTGAAAGAAAATTATTATATTTTAAAAAATAAATAAATTTAAATTTAATATAATATATATATATATATATATATAATGACAATAATAATAACTATTAAATTAAAAAAATAAAATAATTAAAAAATATTTAATTTTATTTATTTTAAAGTAACAAATACACATAAAATTAACTACACTATAATATTAATGTAATATAGAAAAATATTACTGATATAATAAATTAAAATATATATTTATATATAAAATATACATTGATAAATTATCTGATAATTTAATTTTTTATTCATGTAAATATTTATAAATTATTAAATTTTAAATATATGTTAATAACTATAATTAAATTATTAAAGATTTTAATTATTTTTTTTATGATAATTATATTTTATTTGTGTAAAGATATCTTAGATTCAATAAATAACGTCACGGTAAACACATAAAATTGATAACAAAAAATAACACTCAAAACATTTGTTGAATCATCTAAAAGAAAATTATTATATTTAAAAAATTAAATAAATAATTATTGTTAAAATTATAGATAAAAAATATTTATATTATATAATTCAAAGATGCAAAAAAATATATATATATATATATATAAGCATAGTAAAAATTAATAAAATTTATATTTAAATTAAAATAATTTATGTTTCTAAACTTTTATCTTAATCAAAAAATATGTAATAAAACTTAATATAAAAATTTAAACTAAATACACTATATATATATATATATATATATATATATATATATATATATAAAATGACAATAATAAAAATTATTAAATTAAAAAATAATTACAAAATATTTAATTTTATTAATTTTATATTTTAAATTAACAAATATAAGTAAAATTAACTATACTATAACATTAATATAATATAGAAAATATTACTAATACAATACATTAAAATATATATATATAATATAAATTGATAAATTAATTAATAATTTAATTTTTTATTTATACTTTTTTATATAAATATTTATTAATTATTAAATTTTGAATATATATTAACAACTATATATTTTTAAGAAAAAAATCTATTTACATCTATGTCAAATTCATAAAAAATAATTATTTAAAATTTAACATATTTATATTTAGGTATATTGCTATGTGTTGTAAACCTAGTGTCTAAAATTTTTTTTATTGATACTTTATTCAAAGAATTTATACTAATAAAAATAAAATACTTATTAAGTACAAAAAATATATATTATTATTATAATTTATTTAAAATTATATTATTTACTATATGGGCCTATTTTTTATATATATATATATATATATATATATATATTGTATATAAAATTTTTTATTTTATTTTTCTATATATTTTTATAAAATTTTAGTTTCAAATAAAATATAATTTAGTTTTAAAGAATTTCTATTGATTATAAAAAAAAGAATTAAATATAATATATTAATATAATAATTAAATAATAATAATAATAATAAAATTATGAATATAAAAAATATATTAATATAATATTATTATTTTATTTTTAAATTTTATTTTATTCAGTTTTGATTGTGTCTTGTTCTTATTCAAAGATTTAACCATTCTTTAACTTATTTAAATGTAACAAATATCATAATTTATTATTAAATAAATTTATTATTTAAACATGTTTTGACATAAGGATGGAAATGAGTAAAATACTCAATGGACACCCACAAAATTTACACACAATAGGTAGGGTATTTATCCGCTATATGGGTATGGGTAAAAATACGCAAAATTTAATGGCGATAGGTGCGTGTATGGGTATCTAAGTACCCACCTCACCCCATACTCGCATATATATATATATATATATATATATATATATATATATATATTTGAATTTTATTCTACAATTATGCATTAAATTTTTGTATTATTATATTACTTATGTGAAGTTATATTAGATTAATATAAAAATATATTTAATAATAAAGTAAACCAAAAAATTTATTTTGGTTTATATTTTTAATATAAAAATTTAATTACTATTATATATCATTTAATTAGGCTAATACAATTTAATTATTACATAGTTGATATGAGATTGACTTTTTTTAAAATATTATTTATATATACACATAAAATAATTTTCACACAAATATTTTTGTTAATAAAATCATATTGATATTTAAATCATAAAGTGAATGATAAATAATAAATATATTGTAAATATTTTATAAATTTTACAGTCACCTACTATTACCGTAAACTTATTATTTATTGATAATATTTAAATTTTTTTTTATATTTTAATTTAAAATAATATTTTTCTATGCAACATATGTATTACAAGTACAACTATAATCTATTGAATCTAAATAATATTATTCTTACTATTTATTCACGTTCAAAGAAATTTTTGATAAAGTATAAAAAATATTGTTAATTTTTATTTGTTAATTTTTCTTTAGATAAAAAAATATAATTTTTTAATATACACATATATTTTTTTATTATAAAATTTTATCGTGACCATTTAATTTTTATTCAAATTCTCTTTTAAAGTTTATATATTATAAATATTTATGTATCCATTTTTCGTTGTTAGTATTTGAACTTTCCTAACTCTATTCTCATTCTCAATGTCTGTCTTATTAAAACTTAACAACTATGAAATGTTATTCATTAGAGTTAGTTGTCAATGCCGCTACAAGAGGTTACCAAGTAATCCCACACGAAGGGACACCTATTGTGCAGATCTATTTTGTTGTCGTTCTGATATTGTCGATTGATCGAATCTCACACAAGATAAGGTTATTACTGACAAATAACTTGTGTGTTTAGTTTCACTTATTGTTTCTATGAATTTTAGTTTAGAAAATTATTATATTAAAATACATTTAGCACTTGTGATATTTGAATATTTATTTTTTATTTATGTTTATACCTTGTTCGGTAACTATATATTAAATTTTTATATTATTATGCTACTTATGTGAAGTTATATAAATATATTTTTTTTATAAATATTTTTTCTCAAACAAGCATGGGTAATGGGTACAAGATGAGTATGCAGGTACCTAGAGGGTAAGGGTACAAGGTTTAATGTTCATACCTACACGGGTATGGGGCTGAGTTTAGGTATTTTTTTAAAACGCGGGTGATAAGTCTGTAATTAGGCTCTCTTTTACAGCCCATATATTCATATTTGATATTTATTTTATTTAGGTTTTACACTAATTTATATATTAATTGTGCAGTTTGGTATAAAGAGGCCGCAAGTGGATTTTGGGTGCATTCTGAGCCCAAATTGATGGAAGATTAGAGTTTCGCAGTAGTCAGCACGCCCAGACCCATTCAATAAGCACGGGAGTGCTTCGAGCCCATGCACGAACGTGCTTAAGGCCTTGCACGGCCGTGCTCATATGCGGGAAGCCCAATTATGAAGAGTTTGTAGGGTTTTCAAATCCTATGAAAGGGAAGATCTCAGACACCGTTTTAGACCAGTTTTTGACATCTTGGCTTTGGCTCTAGAATACATCTAATCTCGTCTCTCTTGCACAAGATCCTTGGCACATGCTTGGCGAGACTT